TGATATTTTTCTTGGCCAACACAAGCTGGAGATATATATTTATCTGTTATGTATATGTATGTACACAAATATATAATGATCAAAAAATGATAAACATGATCAACCACCTGTTTAGATTCTATATAACATTAGATAACTGTTGCCAATGATGCAATAGCTGACTAACTCAATGCGTCTAAGCCAGGGGTCAGCACCCTGTGAATGCGGCTCTTTTACTGCCCTGTTTGCAGCAAAATAAAGCTCTTTTTCTCACAGTTTTAACAATAAATGGACTTAAATGCTGGAGTTAATGTATAACTGCTAATTCACCCTTTAACCCTGAAGATCAGTGCAAAGACTGCTGGTCACCATAGCAATGCAGACAACAATCTCGCCTAGCTAGTAGCTAACGAAAAGGCAAAGAGAAAGAATTAAGACGAACATCGATAATTTGGAGACAAACTGACTTATTTGCATTTATAAGCACTTGTTTTACATTGTACAAGAAGCTGTTACACTTTCGAGGAAAAGTTTCCTATCAGAGATGTGAGAAAAGCGGCTATAGCTGAGCTAAAGCTTAAAGGAGCAAAGTAAGTCTGCGTGGTCGTTTATATTGCCTTTTTTTAGTCTATACTAGGACATAAGATAGCATTTATTAAGACATATTTTCAGACAAGATGGCAAAACATTACTTACTGTTTTTTTAATTAATGTTTAATTACTTAAAATGTTGTGGCTCCCAAGGTGGTTTTATTTTTGTTGAAAGGACAAAATGGCTCTTCTTAACATTTAGGCTGCTGAGCCCTGGTCTAAGCTGTAGCCAATGAGAGTGAACATATATAAACTTATTTAGCAGTATAATCACTGTCACAGATACAGTTCAACCACATAGCTAGTAGTGTTGTACTCCAGTCGTGGTCTCAAGACCATAAATCTCTTTCTCGTCTTGGTCTCGACCTTATTTGGACTCATTTGGGGTCCGAGTGAGGTTGTTGTCGAGAACAGCCAAGTGCAATGCCTTCGTCTTAGGTAAATGAAAACTGAGTTATTAATGAATATCAACAAAGCCAGGATAAACTGAATAAAACAGTCCTTTCTCTGCATCAGGGGTTCTCAAACTTTAGCAACTCACAGCTCACACAAACAACCACAAAAGCTTCCGCTGATTTAAGCAATCTGATGGCCTTTTTCTGACTCACCTAATGAGCTGATTTGGCAGCTACAGATGGATGTCAGACTGAAGAGAGGAAAGCTGCAAACGGAGTTCTGCTTCAACTTGACAAGTTTAGATCCATATTCGATATGTTTAGTGTCCAAGTGATAATATCAGGGTATGAGCTCATAGGACTATAAGCATAAAAGAGTCATCACTTATGACAAGATTCACTGTAAAACTGCAATATAAACATCACTTGAATGACTTACAGGCTTCAAGCGTCTGTGTTTCAGTCAGAAGTAGCATCAAATCCAGTTTGAAACTCAAATGGCTCTGTAATTTCATAAATAAGCTGCATATGTTTATTTAGGGAACTGTTCTTTCTTATGACAACTGAAAAAAGCTACCGCAGTATTCGGGCCCTCGCAGCCTGACTGTGCCACAGTTTCTTTCCACAAGCCACCACATTCTTCAACTCCCACGGACACACACACACACATATACATAACAACATGGGACTAACTTTTCTTGCAGTTTGAAACTATGTCTGGAACACTGTAAATATAATTAAATATAATTAAATATAATTACTGCATTTCACTGAAATACTTCATTTGATATGACTGTAGATCTGAAGACTTGCATTTTGCACATTTTATTTCCTCAACAATATCTGACTTGCATTTTTGCACATTTTACTTTAACAATGTTAACAATTTTAACAATTTAACAATGTTAACAATGTTAACAATTTTACTAACAATGTTTACTATCCGGTGTCGACCAGAGGAGGATGGGTTCCCCTTCTGAGTCTTGGTTCCTCTCAAGGTTTCTTCCTGTTTCTCTTAGGGAGTTTTTCCTTGCCACTGTCGCCACTGGCTTGCTCATGGGGGCTCGGACCCGGACTTCTTTTTGTAATGCTCATTTCCTTGTAAAGCTGCTTTGTGACAACACCTGTTGTAAAAAGCGCTATATAAATAAACTTTACTTACTTACTTACTTACAATGTTAGCTGCTAGAATTGCTGTATCAACCAAATACTGAATACCATTGCTGTTCAGGTTGCTACCTCAGTGACTGCTATGCTCCTATGTGCTCTCAGTACCGTGTACTGCCTGTGTTCTGTTTTGTATTTATAGTAAGTCTTTCGTATTTATTGTACTGTACTGTCTGGACTGTGTATATTGTATTGTTTTGCACTTGGTCCTGTGTTGGTCCAGGAGGAATGTTGTTTAGTTTCACTGTGTACTTGTATACAGCTCAAATAATAAAGCCTTGACTTGACTTGAAATTCTATTCTATAGCTTGTGGCTGGAACCCAAATTAATATTCTTAGCTAAATTATGTGTATTTTATTTGTGTATTTTATACAATTTTTTACGTTGGCTGCCATTTTAAAAAGCAATAAGCCACCTGAGGCCGTGCGTTAGCCCGCTTTGCATCGTGCCTAACATCACCCTTCCCCGAGATAAAATCACAGTGACGCACGGCCTCTAGTGGCTTATTTAAGCAATAGAACACAAGAGGAAGTGTGTTATCGCGAAATAACATCACGACTGTGATGTGCACAAGCCGAAGGCGAGCACCATAGATCATCACAGCCATGATGTTATGTGCAATAACACACGATCTCGAGTGTTCTATTGCGTTTATACAACAGTTAAATAAATAAAGTAAGAAATGAATAAACTGGGCTGTGAACGCGGCATTTAATATGTTTTAATGTTACCAATTCTTACACCAAATTATAGTTCCTTAACAAACAGCTCGTTGCTACGTCAGAGTAACGAGCTCTGCTCACTCGCTGCACAGCCAGCAGTTCGTTCTCCAGCTCCTTACACTAAATTCCGAAACTGTCATCACCACTGAGCAGCTTTTTTGTTTTTTATTGCGCCAGTTTTACGGCTCAGTCCGATTTTGTCAGAGGTTATTTCAGTCTAACCTCACAGATACTGAGTCTGCCATGTCAGGGATTCCAGTAAGAACCCAGACATTTCTAGGTCATAGTTAACAATTTCACAAACAAATTTGGTCAACTAACCATATCTGTGTAATGACATACATGCATGAACCCAAAAAAATAGTTCATGAGATTATGAAATATAGTGACATTCAGGGAAAAATGTACATATACAGAGCTGAGCAATATGACAATATTTATCATTATCATGATAAATTAGATCACAATTTTTCATGATATGTTTTTCTGAGCATGTCGTGGATATTATCAGTACTTATACAACAGTTCCAGCTACACAAGCTGATTGGTTGAGAAGCGTTCTAACTGTGCTGTTATTTCGCTGTAACATCACGGTTTTTTCCCTGTATCACTCCACTGAGACACTGTTGCTAGACAACGACTTTGACAGCTGTAGGAGACGCTCAGGCCATTTGAACGTTTTTACTTCTTACTTTGCCACAAACCGATTTCGTCAGACTCTGAAGATGAGACTACACTAAATTCCCAAACTGTCATCACCACTGAGCAGCTTTTCAGTCGGCAGTTGTGACAGAAGAACCTGAACAACCTGGAATCAGCCAGAAATGAACTGAACACCATTCACCAAACTAAATGGGCTGTGAGATGCTTTACAGACTGGCTGGAACAAAACAACATTAATATTGATCTGGAAAAAATTTACAACACTGAGCTAAACTTGATATTGAGGTAGTTTTATGGCTCAGTCCGATTTGGTCAGAAGAAGATCAGACTACACGTTTGGCGAATGGTATTCGGTTCATTTCTGGCTGATTCCAGGTTGTTTAGGCGTATGACATTTTGCCATTTTGCCCACCTCCAACCACACAGCAGTGATTTATCGAAAATGAAATTAATTCCTCCCCATAAAAACAGTGTTATGACTCAGAGTTCCTAACGTGGCAGATACGACATCATCCAGTTGTTTAGTCTCAATCAAGCACCATGAGGACACCACGCAGGTCACACCAAGCATTGTTCGGGCTGATTCTTTTGGCACAGTGCAGTGGTTTGTTTCTGCTGTGGTCAGGAAAGTACCGTGATTATACTGGAAGATGATGAAAGGTATCAGACGAGCACTAGAGAGGCTTTTAGGACAGTGTGGCTGGAATATCTATGCATTTCTTTGCATTTTGTTCCAAAACAGGAGAGATCCCCCAAACATGGCCCCAGATATCCGCCATACGTGCGCGCCTGAGCTGCTACATCCGGGGTATAACCAAAAACACACACTGGTTTAACTGCTCTTCTAGCGACCTACAGGCGCATCAAACTCACTGCAAGCGTCACATTTCCACGTTTACTATCACAACAGTGAACAAAGCGCATCTCCCGAACATCAGTCCCGTTTATCCTCACCCAGCATCACAGCTCTTTCACTCTGCCTAACAAATACGTGCAGAAATGAACGCAAATTCGCCGTTAAGCCTGTTTTGTGAGGGAGGATTCTGGTAAAATAGTTAACTAGAAGTGATATTATTAGCGCTGCTGCCCAAACTGGAGCTTCTGTGAACGTAAATGATCCTTTCCCGTTTCTTTATCATCAGCTGCACCGATGCGTGAAAGCAGTAAACAAAGACAAGATCTTCAACACCCCCTCAGAAGTGTTATAAAGACCCCCGAGGAAAGGGCGCGTCGTAAATAAACCTGCAGTGAAGCTCATTATTATGCCAGAGTTTAGCCAGAAAGCTAACAAGGTGTTTTAAAGCGTCTCTGCAGGGAAACAAACCTGGAGCAGAACTTCATCCAGCTCAGCATCCCTGAACCGTTAGCCACACAGACCGAGTCTAACCCGCTGAACTAAACGGGACTTTTGTCATTAGCATACGAGACACACAAGAAACACTGAATGCTGTGAAAAAGACCTTATCAGGGTTTGATACTTACACGAAACGAGTCGAAATAACTTGGCCTGGATGAAGTTCTCACTAAAGAACCACAGTGTGTAGAAATAAACGGCTCTACTTTCACTTTTTCTTCAAAGAGAAAGTCCCTCAGGAGATGCCAACAGCCGCTGCGCACAGTTACGCTGGATTTTCTAAATGCAGTTTTATAAACCTTAGGGGGTTTCCCGTTCTGCGAAAGGACACTCCAACCAAAATGAAAAATTTACCCATCACTGCCATCTGCTGTATACATGCCTACCCGTCTCTTGCAGTGGTGCTGCAGTGATCTTTAAAGGGGCTTTTCCTGATTTAAAGACTAAAAAAATCCCTGATAATGTATCTTGAAGGAGGAAGTATATTTTGCTGGTTACTTGGGGGCAGGGTATTTTATTTTTTGCAAGCTGGCTTATTTTTTCTGTTTCACAGAATGAATAGCTCAGTGTTGTTTTTAATCCATTTGCCTGTGTTTGTGATACACTATGTGGACAAAAGTATTGGGACACCTACACATTATACCTACATCCCTTTCTAAATCCATAGGCACTAATATGGAGTTGTTCCACCTTTGCAAGCTAGAACAGCTTCCACTCCTTGTAGAAGCTTTCTACAAGATTTTGGAGAGTGTCTGTGGGAATTTTTGCCCATTCATACAGAACAGTATTTGTGTAGGACAGCCTTACTCAGCCAGGCCTTTATGGACCTTGCTTTGTGCACTGGGGCTCAGTCATGCTGGAACAGAAAAGGTTCTTCCCCAAACTGTTCCCACAAAGTTAGAAGTGTACAATTGTTCAAATGTCTTGTTAAGCTGAAGCACTAATGTAGCACCCCCTCAGACCCATTACCTGGCTTTAGGAGTGAGGTGAGTTCTTCACGTTGACTAGTAATTGTAATTTTGAGCAGTTAGTAAGCTACTGATTTACACCTTTTAGTAATTACCACTGTAATTAAATTACAAACTCTCCCTATGGTATCACACCTCCGCTATGACACCCCCTTACAAATTTGGTACTCTATTAATGTACAAGACCCCACTCAGTAGTGTGTACACTGAAATAATCAGATGTAGAGAAAATAAAAAAAAACCAAGTGACTGGAAGTACTATTAGCTGATATATTTATTAACACCTTTCCCGCAAACAAATCACTTAGTTATGCTGTATGAATTATGTATTTTTGTTTCTGCTGCTGGGCGGCACGGTGGCGCAGTGGGTAGCGCTGTCGCCTCACAGCAAGAATGGCCTGGGTTTGATTCCCGGCCGGGTGACCAGGGTCGTTTCTGTGTGGAGTTTGCATGTTCTCCCCGTGTCTGCGTGGGTTTCCTCCGGGTACTCCGGTTTCCTCCCACAGTCCAAAGACATGCAGTCAGGCTGATTGGACACGCTAAATTGCCCCTAGGTGTGTGTGTGTGTGTGTGTCTGCCCTGCGATGGACTGGCGACCTGTCCAGGGTGTATTCTGCCTTCCGCCCAATGACAGCTGGGATGGGCTCCAGCGCCCCAGAAGGATAAGCGGTTTAGATGATGTATGTATGTTTGTATGTTTCTTCTGCTTGTTTACGTTCACTGGGAGAGCAAACTCCTAGGCAGTAGGCTCCGATGCTTATGCTAACCAGCTGCGCCTCGAGACCAAACTGTTTACTTCGAAGGGAAGTTTCTCATGGCTCGTTACCTTCCGCCGAGGCAGTAGCTAGTGAAAGTTCTCAGTTCGACAACCAAGTACTTCTGACTTAACAAACATATATTAATATAACATGCTTTATGTTACATCCCAGGATGGAGCATCTGCGTTGGACTTTCAATATATATTCAAGTATAGCCCACAAAAATGTCCCTAGGGCTACACTAAGATTTCCCTTCACTGGAACTAAGAGGTCTAGGCCGACCCCTGAAAACACCCTCATAGCATTATCCCTCCTCCACCAAACTTTAGTGGCGGCGTGCTTTCCAGCACTCCATCCAATGCTGGTGATGTAAGGCTTGCATGCAGCTGCTCAGCCATGGAAACCCATGACATGAAGCTTCCGGCACACAGTTTTTGTGCTAATGTTAAAGCCAGAGGAGGTTTGGAACTCAGATACTGAGTCAGCAGAGCGTTTGTGATTTTATGCACTATGCGTCTCGGCGTCCCGCTCTGTAACTTTATGTGGTCTGTCATTTTGTGGTTGAGTAGCTGTGGTTCCTAAACCCTTCTGCTTTTCAGTAATACCACTCACAGTTAATCGTGGAACATCTAGGAGGGTAGAAATTGTGCCAACTGACTTTTGCAACAGTGGCATCCTCTTACAGCACCACACACCAATTCAGTGAGCTCTTTAGAACGACCCATTCTTTACAAATGTGTGTAAAGCCAGACTGCATGGCTGGGTGCTTGATTATATACACCTGTGGCAATTGACCTGAATGGAGCACCTGAATTCAATGATCAAGAGTCCCAATACTTTTGTCCATATAGTGTAGCTAATCCCAACTGGTTAGCTTCACAGTAGCAATTGTAGCACAGTGTCATTCGCCTTGGCAACGCACGTCCATGAGTTTGGGGAGTGGAGCCTCTGAAGGAGCACTGAAGGGAGGGGCTTGTTTGATTTGCTGTTAAGCTCAAATATCAACAAGATAAATAGATACGTTCATTGCTGTATGACAAAAAAGTTAATGAAATGTTCACAGTATACAGTGATGGGCGACTCTTGTTGTCCATTAGCAGTCCATGGTTGCTCACCAACAATATCATTCTCTAAACAAACTTTAGTTGATCGTTGATAATTATTAATAGTTCATTATTATCAACTTTCCTGAGAATATTCTAAAGCAATCTTTCCTGAAATATTTTATAAAAATTTGTGTATGTTATCAAATTTTACGTTGGCCATCATTTTAAAAAGCAATAAGCCACCTGAGGCCATGCGTTACTCTGCTTTGCACTGTGCCTAACAACATCCTTCCCGTGATAAAATCCCAGTGACGCACGGCCTCTAGTGGCTTATTTCTTTATCAAACAGTATTAAAGACCAGCTGCTCAAACTGTTTCTACTGCCAAAGCAGCTTAACCAACATATTTGGCAAATCTTACTGGTTTATTTTGGTGAGGATGCTGGTCTTGGGATGTCCGTTCAATGCACAACACTGTTCCCATGTAGCAACATTCACTAATTCAACTCTGTACTGACCTCATAATTCAGGAGGGTTATTTCAGTCTAACATTGTGTGCTAGTTTATAACTTTTTCTCAGGGGAGCCAGAATTTCTGCACACAATGGAGAAGACACAACTGACTGTGAGATCTATGAGGAACAGCCAAGCAGAATTTCTCAGTATGTTTTTAAAGGAGAATGAATGAATATCTCTATGCTCATTAAAATAAAATGCAGTATGTATGTAGATTCTGTAATTGGCACAACGGAGTCAGACAAACCTCACAGATACTGAGTCTGTCATGTCAGGGATTCCAGTAAGAACCCAGACATTTCTAGGTCATAGTTAACAATTTCACAAACAAATTTGGTCAACTAACCATATCTGTGTAACGACATACATGCATGAACCCAAAATATAATTAATGAGATTATGAAATATAGTGACATTCAGGGAAAAATGTACATATACAGAGCTGAGCAATATGACAATATTTATCATTATCATGATAAATTAGATCACAATTTGTCATGATATGTTTTTCTGAGCATGTGGTGGATATTATCAGTACTTATACAACAGTTCCAGCTACACAAGCTGACTGGTTAAGAAGCGTTCTAACTGTGCTGTTATTTCACTGTAACATCACGGGTTTTTCACTGTATCACTCCACTGAGACACTGTTACTAGACAACGACTTTGACAGCTGTAGGAGACGCTCAGGCCATTTGAACGTTTTCACTTCTTACTTTGCCACAAACAGAAAATGGATACTTTTAAGATTACATTTGACCGACAGCCGATTTCGTCAGACTCTGAAGATGAGACTACACTAAATTCCCAAACCGTCATCACCACTGAGCAGCTTTTCAGTCGGCAGCTGTGACAGAAGAACCTGAACAACCTGGAATCAGCCAGAAATGAACCCAATACCATTCGCCAAACGTGTAGTCTCATCTTCTTCTGACCAAATCGGACTGAGCCATAAAACTACCTCAATATCAAGTTTAGCTCAGTGTTGTAAATTTTTTCCAGATCAGTATTAATGTTGTTTTGTTCCAGCCAGTCTGTAAAGCATCTTACAGCCCATTTAGTTTGGTGAATGGTGTTCAGTTCATTTCTGGCTGATTCCAGGTTGTTCAGGTTCTTCTGTCACAGCTGCCGACTGAAAAGCCACTCAGTAGTGATGACAGTTTGGGAATTTAGTGTAAGGAGCTGGAGAACGAACTGCCGGCTGTGCAGCGAGTGAGCGGAGCTCGTTACTGTGACGTAGCGCAAGCTGCTTGTTAAGGAACTATAATTTGGCGAATGGTAACATTAAAACATAGTAAATGTCACGTTGTCAATAGAACACTCGAGATCGTGTGTTATCGCGAATAACATCACGGCTGTGACGATCTACGACCAAATCACAGCTGTGATGTTATTTCGTGACAACACACTCCCTCTCGTGTTCTACTGCTTAATTAAAAACACTTCCCAACTGCATGTCTGATTAAAGAGAGCATAATTAGTCCTGTTTATTTGGATTTAGTGCAGCACAGTGTGTAAAATGTTCAAAACAAATAAGTGAATTCACCATTTTTGGTAGTGTTTTTTAAATGTGGCCGTACTGTGTGTTCTAACTTATCAGATGTCAGAAAAAATAAATACTGTGACATAAAGTACATCTTAAAAAACTTACTGAAGGATCGAGATATGACATTTTTCCAACCACACAGCAGTGATTTATCGAAAATGAAATTAATTCCTCCCCATAAAAACACTGTTATGACTCAGAGTTCCTAACGTGGCAGATACGTTCCAGTTGTTTAGTCTCAATCAAGCACCATGAGGATACCACGCAGGTCACACCAAGCATTGTTCGGGCTGATTCTTTTGGCACGGTGCAGTGGTTGTTAAGCCTGTTTTGTGAGGGAGGATTCTGGTAAAATAGTTAACTAGAAGTGATATTATTAGCGCTGCTGCCCAAACTGGAGCTTCTGTGAACGTAAATGATCCTTTCCCGTT